TTACCATACCAACGCCCCAATTTCTGTTCTTACAGCATGTGTGAAGATAATAATTGTTCAAGCTGAGAATCACGTCTGTGTTTTAAATCTAATACAGTTTCCTGTATTCCTTTGTATGTTGTAACCAGATTTTGTGCTCAGCCTTGTAAAGATATGGCTGTGGCCTTGAGGTATAATGTAATATTTAAAAACTGTTAGAAATATATAAAGAATATAAAGTTTTGTAGACATTTTTTATAAGAAGAAGCAATTCGGCAATCTTCCGAGATCCAGCTTGACCAACTTTCATTTTTATCGGTGTATGCACTCAGATGCAATTTGTTAGTAATAACTTTACACAAAATAGCAAATACAGTATAGCAAATAGGGTGGGTCACTTTTGAAATATTTTTGAATTTAGGTTCGGCTGGGCATTTTTCTTATGTCTTGGACCATATGATACTAAGAACCAATTCTCTTTTTATTTGCATTTAATGTTTAGTCAGGTAATTTAGCCTGAAATTTTAAGTTTTATCATAAATATATCGTTTATGCGAAGTTATGAAAAGTGCTTTGGTACTACTTAATAAAATAAAGTCTAAAAAGATTCCTTAGCCTTAGTTAACCTAGTTACATCAATAATATATTAAAGTTACATCAAAAATTAAATTTTATGGTATATTATACGCGTGATATACGCGTGACAAGACATTAAAAATTTGATAACAGCATTTTGCGCATATTTTTCTAAAATGAATTGTTTACTCATAATAAAAAGTTAAAATACTGATTACATCAGATCTTTCTTTGATTGGAACACAGGTGTTTAATAACTAATAAAACTGTTACTAGTGGTCTGACTTTGGCGTACATAAATAAAATTTTCGGAAATACGTCATTAATACATTTTTCAAAATTAACTGTTACCTATTTCTATGATAAAATACCCCCTTAGTTGCTATAATTAAGAATCATATTTTGACATTTTTATTGATAAAATAGTTGTAGTTTAAGACATTTATTTGATTTAAAGTGGCTTGATTAAAGTAAATCGACAAAACCCTGGGGAAGTTATATACTTATGATAAAACTAAAATTTTCAAGCCGAAAATTACCTGACTAAACGTTAAATGCAAATAAAAAGAGAGTTGGTTCTCTGTATCATACGGTCAAAGACATAAGAAAAATGCCCAGCCGAATCTAAATTCAAAAAATTTTCAAAAGTGACCAACCCTACTGAACAGTATTCTGATGAATTATCTCAAAATGATGTGGAATCAGACAATGCTTAGAATGGTTGTGATGATAATGTTTATTTACCTGAAATAAAAAAAGTTTCTCAGCTATATACCTTAAATGTAAATTATATTGCTTTGTCGGCATTATGATTTGGTACAAGTAACAGAGCAACTGCATCAGTAAGCACTGCAACATTAAAAGCAGCCAAAGATGAAGGTTTTTTGAAAGGTCATATACTTGATAAACACCTAGTTCTAGATGATAAAAAAATTGAGAGGTCAAAGCAAATAGTAATGAAGTTTTGTAAAGAGAGACATAACAATGTAGTAAAAGAAGAGGGCATACAATGTATAATGTTCGATGGTAGAAAAGACCTTACAAAAACAGTTGTATATAGCAATGATGGTAAATTTTACCCTAGGGAGATCAAAGAAGATCATTATAGTGTGTGTTCTGAACCTGGTGGAAAATATTTATTCCTCTTTGTAAATAATTCAGAGAAGAGAGAGAAGTTCGAACATCTGTTGAACATACTGCTGAACAACTATATGATTGGATAAAAACGCATGGCAATGAAAACCATTTAGTTGCAATTGGAGGAGATTCAACCAACCTTTGCACAGTTTTTATTTTTATTTCTTTAAATAGTAGTTTAAAATTTTATGTACTTTTTTTTTATTGAAAATAAAATAAGGGTGGAGTTGTTCAATTTTTAGAGAAAAAACTTATCTGCATTATTTGTGTGCTACATACCAACAAATTGCCACTTAGACATTTAATGTTAGCTTTATCTAAAAATAGATTCTCAGTAAACATCAGAAAACTTATTAACATACCAACAAATCTTCCTATTTCGATATTCCGCAGCTTGATTTTGTTGTAGACCTAATTCATCTTGAGAAGGAAGTTGTCGACTCATTGTCTACAAATCAGAAGTATTTATACAAAATATATATAATGCAATAGCATCAGGTGTTTTTCCTGATGAAGGGAGATTCAAAGGAGATTCAAATTGGTTCACACAACCATTCAAGATAGTTAAGTCTTGCAAATAGACTACTTCGAATCTGGTGTGAAATTGTTTACAAAGCTCATCATGGGTGTTTAGTTTATTATGTGATTTGATCTTAAGATAATGAATTTAGATAAAGATATAATACAATACTTTACTTAAATACTATAATTTACTTTAATAATTGTAAAACAATTATGATTATGCTGAATCAAATAGTCTAATAGATTTAATCAATTGGGAAACAGAGGAGATCAGTGAACCGGTTCTTACTTGTTGTTTGATAAAAGTTGATATTATACAGTTTATTAATAATCTAATGATTGTACCAAACTTCCCTATTAACGGTCAATTTTTTGAACGCATTGTGAAAGAGATCACCAGGGCTTCAATGTGTGTGGTGCCGAGAGAAGAGACGGGTTCATAAGGGCTACAATCGCTCATAGAGAGCTGATACCTGTGTTCCAATCAAAGAAAGATCTGATGTAATCAGTATTTTAACTTTTTATTATGAGTAAACAATTCATTTTAGAAAAATATGCGCAAAATGCTGTTATCAAATTTTTAATGTCTTGTCACGCGTATATCACGCGTATAATATACCATAAAATTTAATTTTTGATGTAACTTTAATATATTATTGATGTAACTAGGTTAACTAAGGCTAAGGAATCTTTTTAGACTTTATTTTATTAAGTAGTACCAAAGCACTTTTCATAACTTCGCATAAACGATATATTTATGATAAAACTTAAAATTTCAGGCTAAATTACCTGACTAAACATTAAATGCAAATAAAAAGAGAATTGGTTCTTAGTATCATATGGTCCAAGACATAAGAAAAATGCCCAGCCGAACCTAAATTCAAAAATATTTCAAAAGTGACCCACCCTAATATATATACCTTGTTGTTAATATTATTATTTTTTTTTAATCGATTTGTAATAAAAGTTAAGTTACATTTATTTTTTTTTTAATTAATTTTTAAAAATTTCGATATAGTTGTTTAATTTGATTATTGTAGATTTTAGCTTTGTTTTCAAAGAGTGATCGTTGTTTAAGTTTAACAGCGATTCGTTTCTGGAAACTAATTTGTTAGATAAATAAAGACCACGAAATGTAATTGAGAATTTTGAGAGTCTTGTTGTTTCAAACGGTATCTTAAAGTTGCCTGTTGCTCTCGTATTATATTTATATTGTTTTTAAAAAAGTGTGCTGAATGGAACCTTGGGATACACCACATTTTGTTTTGTCTGTTATTAAGGTAGTTTTTGAACCAATTTAAAGCTTGATTTTTTATACCATTGTATTCCTGTTTTGTCAATAAAATCTCATGATTGAAGATGACCTTGACAATGTACATAGAATGCTGAGCTATTCTCTTTCAAAATTGTCTCTGCTAAACCATGTTGTACGTTGTTGGCTCTATCATTCCTATGATCACGAAGATATTTAAGTTCTAATCCGTGGTGTAAAAGCCATTTTTTATTTCAAATTATATAAAGCATGATCTGTAATTCTTTCAGTTTAAATAACATTAAGAACTTTTTCCTCAAATAATATTTTTAAAGTCAATTTACCAAACTGAAGTCATCTTTTCATTGTTTTGGAAAAATACTTCATCAAGAGTATAAAAATGCAATAAATTTTCCTTGGATTACACTTGCATTTATATTAGATATCTTATTGTTAGATCTACGGAATGCCAAACCTTGTTTTCCTTAAAAAAAGAATTGCTTTAATAATGCTATAATCCCTAAAGATTGTTAAAGCAAATTCTTTCTTGCAATCTTGTATCAAGCTTTATGCGTATTCGTGTAGAGGGGTTGATGCATATTTTTCTTGTACCATCCAAATACTCCTACGCACAAAAATTATGTTTGTTTGTTTGAAACATATTTGGCAAGATGTTTTACTGAATTTTTCCAGTTATTCCAGCCGCCACAAAAAAACACACAACCGCCACAGTGTACACCATTTTTTCTTTACTGTACCTCAAGTATGAATATTTATTAAGTTAAATGGAGAAACGTAGTTTTTTCCATAGCCTGATAAAGAAAAAATTCATGACACAGGTCGGTGATGTTAATCATGTAAGTTGATTTTTTTAGCATTGAATGACAATTGCGGTGTTTCAAGGTCTAACAATCTAATATCATAAGTAAAAGTATATGTATGTATACCGTTTTATTACGTCATTTGATCTATGCCATCCGCGTACGTGGGTAGAATTCCTTACTTAACTGGAAATGGGTTTACTATTCGGAACTAAGCGCTGTTGAAAATTTTTTAAATTAGCATTAAAATTTTAAAAAATTTTTATTCGTTTTTATGCCACTTAGTTTAATGACGAAATTTTGTTGTCTCTTTATTGATTATTTTAAAAGTTCGCCTTTAAAAATTAATGTGATAAATAAAAATAAAGTTCGCCTTTAAAAATTAATGTGATAAATAATATCGTTATTCAACTAAGTGTAGAAATTTAAGTAAAAAGTTTAAACTGTAAGTGTATGCATATTGAATGTAAATCAATACCTGTATATTAATAATAAAAAAAAAGTTTTTTTGAAAACCAAGCAAAAACCTCATTAACTGAATTGTTATTTTTGATCTAAGACAGATTTAGAAACTCACTGAAGATACTTTGACAAAAGCGACAAAAGCGACAAAAGCTTTACAGCTAACCTTTGGTAACCACACCATGGCTTGAAGCCATTATGTAAATGGTGGTTAAGCAATAATAAAATGTTGATGAGAGTAAAAATAAATGTCACAAAATATTTGTTTGATCATAAAAATATGTTTAAAATCATTAAATTGTTTAATATTTTAATTCGCTGTTTTCTCTTGTCTTTTCGTCAACTACTTTTCACTTTCGTATTAACAAATATTTTAAACTTCTTTTCTTCCTCGAAATCTGGTTCGCATGTCTAACTATAAAAAAAAAAAAATTAAAAAAAAAATTATTTGATTCACTTTCACTCCAAACAAACTCATTTTAGACAAGCTGTAAAAAGGCAAGTTGTAAAACAAAGTAATAAGGTTAAAGAATGTCGTTATCTTTTATCTTTATAATATTTAAATCGTTTATCGTTATTAAGCTTTATCGTTATAACTCAATCAGTTAAACAGTATTTAAAAATAGGAAAACTAAAAATGGTTTAAAAAATTCATAATTTTATATGTTAAACTTTACTTAGGGATCTTCCATTAAGTAAGTGCGCAGGTATGGGGGGGGGGGGGGAAGGGATGCAACTCGAAAACATACAAACGCGTACAGGGGGGAGGGAAGTGTTTAGACAGTGAGTAAGTGCGCGGTTTAAACATCTTTCGTTTTCAATCTCAAAATAAAAGTCTTTAAATAAATATCTTATAAACAAAAGAATTGAATTTCCCGAGTTTAAAAAATCAATATTATGTTATGTTAACAGAGAAATGTCGAAATAACTAAAGGTTTTTTGTTTTTCATGTTTTGAAAAATGAATGCGTTAGGGAAGGAGAGGGGTTGACTTTGTAATAAATAGTGCGTACCTAGGCCGAAGGCGAGGAGGATTGTTGAAAGTATACATGTGCGTGCAAGGGAAAAGGAGGATTCTAAATTAGTGTTTTTACTGCCTGCTTACTTTATTGATACCCCCTTATATTTTATAAATTTAACTTTTCATTTCTAAAAATCTTTTATAAAGCACTAACCAGAAACATTGAAAATCAAGAATCATAATGGCATTTAAATAATTTGAAATTTAAATAATAAAAAAAATTTTTCAATCACTCCAAACTCTCACATTCACATTACTTTTAGGTGCTTAAAACATGGGAAAAGATATTGATTAATTTTCGGAAAGTTTTCTCACCCACCCTGAAATTATTTTTATTTCTATTTTTTTTTTATTTGCTCTAACAATATTGCAAGTAACAATATTAAGTTAGTAGTTACTAGAAAACAAAGAATAGAGTCAAAGAACAAGGAAATGGTGGACAGAAGACTAACTGAAGTTTTTGAAGAAAACATCAAAATCAGAAATCTTACTGAAGTTTTTGAAGAACACATCAAAATCAGAGATCTTACTGAAGTTTTTAAAGAAAACATCAAAATCAGAGATCTCACTGAAGTTTTTCAAGAAGTTATAAACAACTTTAAAGAAACTATAAAAATGATAAAATCCTATTCAGTCAAAAACAACATTTTACAGAGATATGTTAATGAACAAACAGGCAAGATATTACAGTTGATGTTAAACGTCAAAACTCGGTGGAACTCATTAATAACCATGCTCAAATGATTCCTTTAAATAAAGGATCCTATAAATAGAACATTAAATGAATTAGGGCAACAAAAGATTTTAGAGAAGAATATATTAACTTTAAAAGAACTATTAGATGTCTTATTACTGTTAGAAACTGCAATAAAGGAGTTATGTAAAAATTCTACAACACTTTTGACCGCGGAAGGAGTTTATAAATTTATATTCAAAAGCTTACAAACGAATTTAAGTAAAAGTTTATTAAAATAGATTTAAAAAAAATCATATGGATGAATATCAAGATAAAATCTTTATGACATTATTAATCTTCTTAGAAACAGACATTCCACATTCCACTAAATATTTTGATTATGCTTCAAAACCTGCCGCCATTTCTTTAGCAGTAGAAATATTTAAAAGAGTTCATTTATCTACTAGTGACAGCAACAGTACTGAGCACGAGCTCAAGGAAGCTGTAAAAGAAATTGCAAGTGAAAATTTTCTTTTTATGCAAGTATTTTTTTGAAATATATATATATTTTTTTAATAAAATAAATTTTAAAAATATAATTGTTTTATTATTTTATGAATTTTCAATGTGGGTAAATAAAATACTGTGTTAAAGACACCACGAGTATTAAATTCGACCTATCATCTTTGTTTTCTTATTTGATATCTGCATTCAAATATTTTTAGTATATTCTATAGTAAAGGTTTTACTCTTTGTGGTAAAAAAACGACTCTTAACAACTCTTTGTGTTTAAAGATGATAAAATTAAATAACCTTATTTAATTGTCACCATTGAAGAAAACTGCAGACATTTCATTGATGCTTACTTTAAGAATCAAGTCTTGCATAAATTGAAACAATTATTTATATTATCTTTAGTACAAGAAGCTGTTATAAGTATTGTGATTTTACTGACAGTTCTCTCATTTAATTTATGTTTCTTATGTTTGATGAAAGCATGTCACCAAAATTTTCCTGGTTTTCCTGGTTTACCATTAGTGACAAGTTTAAGTTTTTTTTCCAGGGCCTTTCTAATGAAATGCCAACAAGCTAGTTTATGAAGCATTTTGGAATTCCATGCAAAAATGATTCATAAGATAATAATAGGTTACCAGGTTACCAGATTTCATTTGTGTAATTCAGATTTTATTAGTGCAATTGAGCATTGAGTTGCTTAAATCTTTCTTGATTGGCTCAGTTTGAGTTAATGTTTTTTAGTTTTTTTAAGTTGTTTATTTACGCTCCGAGCTTATATTTATGTAAAAATTAGATGTATAATTAAATTTTAACATATAAGTGTAAAACAAAGTGATTTAAACAGGAAATCTTGTTATTTCATTTTTTATTTCTCTATATTTCTCTCTCACAATTTTTCAAATGTATTTTTTGTAAATTGTTAAATGTTATTAACTGAGTTTTTGCTTTAATAAGAAAATATAGCATTGACTAAGAAAAAACTTACTGCAGAATATTATCAATTTATTTTTTCATAATGGTATTTTTATAAGAAACTGATTTTTTATTTACAAAACAAATCAGTTAGTACAGTCTAATTGAAAACATTTGCATTTTAATTAATTCAAGAACACATCAAAATCATTTTAATTAGCACTCTATTTAATTAATTATTTTTTTATGCAATAACTTTTTCTTTAAAAAAGCTTTGCAGTTTATTGATTCAAAAAACACAAATGACTTATGTGTTTTTTTTATTTCAGTAACAACAATGATTTTTTTTTATAAACCACTTTGCAAACTTGACCATGTCATTTATGTTATAGTGATATTGACTGTTACAGACAAAATAAAATCTACTATATATTTATGTAACAAATAGTTAACCCTATTTTTGTTACATTAATTTATACAGCATTTTTTTTAAAATAAGAAAAAATGAAGAATAATCAAAGAAAAGATTGCTGCTCCATTCATGCAAAAATTGAAAGCTCTCATAAAAAGCTGTTTAGAGGAGCAGCTCGCATTGCTCATCATGTTCGTTTTAAAAGACTTCGCTCTTGCACTCATTTACTCCTGCCCAGGCCTATATATATATATATATATATATATATATATATATATATATATATATATATATATATATATATATATATATATATATATATATATATATATATATATATATATATATATATATATATATATATATATATATTATATATATATATATATATATATATATATAAATATATATATATATATATATATATATATATATATATATATATATATATATATATAAATATATATATATATATATATATATATATATATAGTCTTGCATGTCTCTTGCGTAGCATCAAAAAATATTTCCCATAAACTGTAGTTTTAAAGAGCGCGTTAATAAACCAGACCAGAAAAAGTTTTAAAAATTAAATTTTTTTTTTTAATTGATAGACTGCCTGGCCAAACCAAACCCTCAGTCGATGTAGCAGCACTCTCTTGCGAGTCAGGCTATTTGTCAGTCGTTGTAGCAGCACTCCCTTGCGAGTCAGGCTATTTGTCAGTCGATGTAGCAGCACTCCGTTGCGAGTCAGGCTATTTGTCAGTCGATGTAGCAGCACTCAGTTGCGAGTCAGGCTATAAGATAGTCGATGTAGCAACATTTACGCATGTTTAAAAAATGTTTTTTATTAAATCAATAACAAAAACACCACTAATTAAAAAAAACTTTCTAGTCGTTATAATTGCGGTTTTTTAAAAATTTTTTAAAAAACAATTAAATTTAATGTACTTCCGCATAAATTAATTGCTTTGACATTTCGATGACAATCAAAAACAGCTTAAGAGACGAGGTAATTAAAATTGTAGTCGCAAGAGACTTTTTTTACATTAAAATGCTCTTAAAGCGACACTATATGAGTATATATATATATATATATATATATATATATATATATATATATATATATATATATATATATATATATATATATACACACACACACACACATAAATTATTAAAGTAATTACCATTGATCTTCTGATATATATATATATATATATATATATATATATATATATATATATATATATTATATATATATATATATATATATATATATATATATATATATATATATATATATATATATACACACACACACACATAAATTATTAAAGTAATTACCATTGATCTTCTGCATTCATAAAATGAGTATATAGTAGCTCTACATTCCGTGCTGACACCATCTGCTTCTTTTTTCATGCATTCTCCCATAGTTTTGCCATCCTCAGATAGAGAAAAAACCCTGCATCAAAATTTAATGTAATATCATCTCATAAAACCTATAACACATAAAGATATAAAAAATAAAAAAATTAAAATAAAAATTGATAATTTTTTCTTGCAATTGTAAAATTGTTGCATTTTTTTATACTATATTTATTTATTGGAAAAAGTTTTAAAAATCAAATCAAATGTATTCTGAAAGATTGTTACATCAAAGAAATTTTTAAATAAAAAACCAAATAAATATAAATATTTTTAAATAAAATTAATATATAACTATTATAAAAATAGTAGTAATTATAAAAATTCTTTATTATAAGGGTTATAATTATTTAGGTTTATACTTATTATTATTTTTAATAACTGTAGTAACCTTAAAAAGTTTATAACAACAATAATAATTATAATAACAATAATGATAATAACAATAATAATAAAAGTGGTGGAATAACATAACAATAAAAAGATTAATAAGATTATTCTTATATTTTTTAATATAATTATATTAGTAAAAAATACTACTAATAACTATAATATAAATTATAACAATAGTGATAAGAATCAGGTGCGGATCCAGACCATACAGTAAAGAGGGTAATTTTTAGTTTTTTTTAATTCGGTGAATCCAGACCATCTAGGAAGCAGGGAGAGGCGATTTTTGATTCGAAAGATTCAGACTATTTTGTAAAGGGCAGTTTTAGGTTTAATGATTTGTGAGCAGGCAAGCCCACTAATCACACAACTTTTTTAGTTAATTTTTTTGCTGTTGCTCGCACAACGGTACCGTCGCTTTAATTTTTTTCTTAAAGTCATGGTAGTGATTTCTGATTGGTTGTTTTTGAGGCTGAAATCGCCTCCACCTCTATGGATTTGTCGTTGATAAGAATACTAATGAAAGTAATATAAAATATTAAAATTAAAAAAATATATTCTAACTAGTATTATATAACTAGAAAAAAGAAAAAGTTGTAAACAGGTATAATGGTATAAAAGTTGTATACAGGTATAAAAGTTGTAAACAGGTATAATATTTATAAATAATTTTCTAAAAGTTATAAAGACCAATTTTAAATTAAAATGGTCCTTTAAACTTTTTTGGTAACAATAACTCAAAATTGCTACCAGATCCTAGAATGCATATTTTCAATTTCCTCTCTAATTAAATAAGATGGTGAATTTAGAAGGTACTAAATAATTATATAATTAAATAAGAATGTAAGAGGTATTTTATAATAGTTTCAAACAAATAGACAATTAAGTCAATTTCAAAATTTAAGACCCAAATTAATAAAGAAATTTTTCAAAACAACCTAATTGAATCTTATGTCAAAGAAGTGAAACTTCAACCAAATGGAAGATTATGCATATTGAACCAAATATAATGGCTAATATCAATGCAGGCCTAACAAAATTGATATTTGATATTGGTAGAACGATATCAGATGACTTGAAATATATGTCAGGGTTATGACTTTTTAGTGATCACTTGTGAATGGGTCATAAATCGATGAATGTTAGTACAAAAGTAATGAAAAAAACATTAATTTGATTTTCATGTTGAAAAAGGTCACCCACAAACCAAAAATTCATATTTAGCATATATGCGTATGGATAAGATTTTAAACAATTTTATGATTATTATTTTTTAATTTTAATTTTTTTAATTGAAGAGTTATTAGGTCGGGTGAATAAATAAAAACAATTGCTTTTACTCTGTGTTTTTGGAGTAATTCTTCAGCTTTACATGAACAAAAATTTGAGCAAAATTGCTCAAATTTGATTCAAGTAAAGTTGAACAATTTACAAAAATGCTAAGTTATTGCTCAGCTTTACATGAATAAAAATTTGAGGAAAATTCCTAAAGTTTTTATTTACGTAAAGCTGACCAATTACTGAGTAAAAGCAATTGCTTTTTTTTATTCACTCGGTCTATTATGTAACTTTGAAGTATTTAAAAGTTTATTGTTACATTATAACATTCTAAGTTATAAATAAATATAAAATTACAAACTTAAATAACAGTTCTACAAGTACGAAAAGCTACCGTATACATCGCAAAAATGTTGTGTATTGTTCACCTAATTTAAAACATTATATACAATTTTTTAGACAAAATTTTTTACAATTTGTTAGACAAAATAAAAACATCATATACAACTGTTAGATAAAATAAATATAAGCTAGAGGTTCTCTTTCTTTTTACAGATAGCAAAAAGATCTTGAAGACACTTGATTGCTCGTTCTGCACAATGATTTGTTCTGAGAATTTCTAGTCTTGATGGTTCCTGATTCCAAAACTATTTCGAAAAATTTTTCGCGACTGCACAAGCTGCTACATAGCTTCCGATAATCATATGCATTGTACATTTGGTCAGTAAACCAATGGTGTGCCCATCTGTAAGAAATGAATCTAAAAATGTAGAACAGTGAATCTCTTCTCTCTGGTAGAAGAATAAAAATCAAGAGATATTATTGCTCAGGAATAGTGAAACTCTAGGAAATATTTAGGAAATATTCTAGATTCTTCAAAAAAGTGAAATACCTGAGTTGAAATAGAATGAAATAGAAATTTCATATCAACAGGCTATTCTGCTGTTTCAGTAATCACTTTTTTACCATTCTTGAAATTCATCCTGATCTGTTTCTAGTTCTTTACAAGTTCCAGGATAAACGGATATTTGATATTGGGTGAAATGTTGTTTCCTCTAAGTTTATCCATTACTAGGCGAAGGACTTGGTCATAAGTATGATGTTCACATCATATGATTCTTCCAGTTTCGTTTTAGGTAAAAATCTTTTTGTAACTGACTAACAATCTCATTCTTTCTTTTAATATTTACATTTGTAGTGTCTGCTACAATTATCTTTATATTATTCAAAAAATTGTATTCATCAAGAATAGCTGTTATACATTAACAACATTATCTGCTTTTCTGTCAAATAGATTTAGTGTTTTGAACTTTACTTCCCTTTGTTTATTCTTCAACAAACTTGATATTCTTAGTGACATTTACCATCAATGTATAGTGATCAACTTTTTAGATGTAATATTTTTTTTCTTTTTTTTTTACTTTTTAATAGTTGATCTAAATATATCTGATATTCTTGGATTATCATTCAATCTGACCTCTAGTGGAAACCATATATACAATCAATGGCAAAGTTACAATTTGCTAAAATTGCTTTTCTTTATGGTGTTTGCCATTTTCTTACTTTCAATTCCATTCTCTACCTCTGAAAAATCTCTTATTCATCCCTCTATGGAATACTGTTGTAACATTAAAGCTGGTTCTTTTTATGATGCTCTTTTTATTCTTGACAAGATCTAAAAACTGTAAATCTTGTTGCTCCTGCTCTAGCTACCAAGTTTGAGCCACTCTCCCATTGTGATAGGGTTGTATCTCTTTTCTACAAACGCTATCATGATCACTGCTCAAACATGATATTATCTCTAGTTCCATCAACCAAAACTTGTTCATGCTTGACTTTTTATTCATATTTATCTGTTTTACTAAAATGTTTAAATATTTAATAAGCATTAAGTATTTCAGTTTAAGCATAGTTTCAACAAAGTCTTTATCAAATGAATAATTATTTACACTTGATAAAGACTCTGTTGAAACTGTCATATGTTAATAAATATATATTTATTTTGAATACCGTAAATAAAGTGTTTTTTATATTTCTGATATATTCATAAATAAGAGTATTGCCAAAGAACTGAAACTAATTGCTCTAAATTGGATTTCTTTATACTTTAAATAAAAACTTTGTTTTAAATTATATTTAAACTTATACTAGTAAAACAATAGAAAAAGATAATCAAATCAATTTTAAAAATTTTAATGTTTTATATATTTAATATGCAGGCAAAATACCATATTTTAGATTGACAGTAAGTTTTATAATACTAATATCAAAATACCAAATTTCAGATTGACAGTAAGATTTATAGCGCTAATTTCAATATAACTAGAAACTCTTGAAGACTCAATCTAATAAATCCCCTAATTACAATGATTTCTAGGTAAATAATTTAAAATAAGATTTTAAATTATTTAAATTTCCCACAAATTTTTTATTTACTATTGGTTTCTTTTTTAACAAATTGTTAATAGAACTGAAAGTGTTTTGAACAGCATTCAATAAAATGAGACAAAATGTTCAATTAGACATAATAAGTTGTAATCCACATTTTGCTTTATATATTGTAGCAGCAAAATTTGCTCTAACTATCAATACTCATGGTTGCAGACTAATAATGAAGCAAACCAGAACGGCTGGTTAAGTTATTCTTATAGACAGTATCAAGAATTTTTCACCAATGTCGATTTTGAGTAAAACAACTCTTCTTGCATAAAATATATAAAATGGATCATTTTGTTGAACTTGGGACAGTGATAGGCAAGTTATTAGCATCAAGCATGCTTCTGCTCACCAAACTCTTTTTAGGACTTGGTGGTTTTGACAAAGTACAAGTCACCACTGTCTTACCAATGCTTGTTTTTCCCACTGTCTTAAATATAAACACTAGCTTTCTCTACAGTAGATTGACTAGATTCAATATTGGTTTATGCTCAATTATTGCCTGTTTAGTATTTTTTTTAATACTATTTTTAATCTACATATAATAAATATTAGTTAATAAATTTGTATTTATTTAACCTACATATAAAAATTATCATTTATTGTATGTATATAAAATGAATAAAAATTTAATAACTCAATTTAAATTGAGCTATTCAATTTTAAGATTTTCTGATTCAAATCACTATTTAAGCACTAACCCTAAAACCTTTAAAGTTTGGGAAAAGGTTAATAAAGCTAAATCCAAACTCTTTAGTGTGCGAATGCAGGATTGTATATTTTGGAAAGTGTTAAGGATGGTAAGAACATCCACTTTTGTCAAAACGCTGTAAAAAAAATCTGATGTTAAAAATTGACTCATCAAGAAAATCAAATTTATTAATTATACTTTGAAGAGAAACTTTTTTTTCATATTAAAAAAGAATCAAACAAAATTTTTAAAGAAGTACTTTTTTCATGCAATCACTCATATGAAGGCAATTCACCAATTCTTTTCTTAATGCATTGCAAGCTTGAGCAGGAGTTGTAGTTTCTTCAGAAATTTCAGCCATTTAAAATAAGAAACAACTTTGTATTGTATTTTTAAAAATTTACGATAGTCTGTGCGATCTAGAATTCTAGCAAAAAAGGAAAAGGAAATAATAATCAAGAAATAACAATTTAAATATACACGTTAATTTAGGAAGGTATTTTTTATTTGTGCTTGCAAACAAATTTTTCTTATAGCACGCGCTTACTTACGCGGAGATTTTTATTGGGGACTCGGTGTAATTAAGGCGATTTTCAATATATTAGAATACTTTTATTTGGAATTAAGATGATTTTGTCAGCATATTATGTCCAAAAAAGATCTTTAAATGCTATAATTTTTTATGCTTAAAGTTTTTATAATATTTAAAGAAACTTTTCTTTTTTATATATAATTTTCAAAACCTTTTTACTACCCGTAATAGTGTATCTAAAGAACACTATTTTGGAGTCTTTAGATCAGTTCCGCTCATCGGTATTAATATGAATTTAGTTAAAATCTTTTGAAAAAGTTTCTTAATTTACTACTGATCCTAATTTTTATCGGTTCTGACTTATATTAACTATGTATAGTTGTCAAAACACAATATTTCTATCTATTTTCACACAAAAATACTGGAATTCCGACCAAGAAAGAGCTTATAATTATGGAAAATTGCCAATAAACAATCAGAACAGATCATATTATTAAACTATAATGTTCATTTCACCTAAAAAAAACTTGTTAATATAAAATCTTATTTAAATTTGGACGAGTGATTGTGATTTTAAGATGATTTTTTTTTTAAAAAAAAAGAATCATCGGTCTGGATTTTTTCGCTACAAACATTTATATTTTTTGATACCGCAAAATTTATCATTTTAAGTTTTTCGTCTTTTCATAATTCACAGACCAGACCAAATAAAGGAAAAATGTCGTAGTCAACAAAATATCATACAGACGCTCTATTATTTTAAAAGTACCTTAACTACACCGAGGAGTAAAATTTATACATGGCAGTAAATTTAATTGTCGCATTTTAATTATAATTTATTTAAATTAAATTAATTTATAAACTCCTTAATTAAACCTTGTTTAAATAAATATTGAAATACTTTATTTTTAATTAAAAGAATGCCTGCATAAACTTAAACCCTCAATCGATGTATGTACACTCCACTGCGGCGATCCCTATTTAAGTGTATCGATGCACTATTTATCCCTATATAAGAATATCGGTATACTACACTGTAACTACGGTTATATTACTTAGTGCATCTCAATGCAACTTAGGCCTGGATTACTTCAATAATTTTTTGGCGATTTTTAACTCCACTCTCCCCCTTGTCAACAACTTGTCAAACTTTTAGAAACCCCCCTATACAATTACGTCAACATTTAATTACCCCCCCCCCCCTCCTCCTTTAAAAAACAAAAACAAAAAAGAAAATGAAAAGAAAACAAAATAGTGGTAGCAGTAGTTAAAATATATCTTTTACAACTACAACAAAAAATAGTTACAACTAGTTAGTTTACAAAAATAGTTACAACTATTTAGTTCACAACTACAACAAAAAATACTTCTTTAAATCATATACATATTTTTACAAATAAATCCAAATCTCACATCGTAGCCTCTACTTCTTCCCATGGAGATGCAAAATGTTCCTCAGTTGTTATTATTGGCATAGGCTCTGATTGAATAACTTCTTGTGGAATCGAAATACCAGACAAGTCAACAATTTCTTCATCTAGCCATTCTACGATTAGCATCTTTCCATGAGCAAAAATTGCCATGAGCTCTCTCTGCCTTTCGGAAGCCACTCGCATTGGACAAATTCTTTGTTTTTGGGTGCATGAAATATTTGACTGGACCCAGAAGCACATTGGTGGGGATGTTGAACATGCTTCTTTAATAAGGTTAGCGAAGCAACATAAACGTGACGGATTTTACAGATCCGTTCAAACAACGATAACTGAATAGATGGACAATATATATCATATGGAAGAATTTTGAAAACTTTTGCTAATCGAGGTAGTATATTTTTAACTTTTATAGACTGATTACGGAAAAGATATGGAAATCTATGTGATTTTATATCAGATGCATCTGGTGCTTTAAGACCCTCATTAGTTTGACAGAATGAAATTGGCAGAGGGATAAATCTATCAGCAATAATTTCAAAGTACGAGTTTCTAATCGGTTGGCAACAAGTTAAATCACAGCATTTGATAATTTGTAGAAAATACTGACTTGTTCTTACATGGTTTTGGAACCAAATTTTATCTTCGATTATTAAATTTTCAACTTTAGGCTCAGACTTTTCAGGCACAATATACTCTGCTACTGTTGGAAAATTATCGATAATTACTTCCATACTTCTGACAATGTTTGGCCAGCATGTTTAAAGTTTAATTTTTCCAACTCATCGTCAATTGTTCTATCTTGTGTGTCAAGGTGGCTTCCAAAATTTTCATGTGGCAAAATTAGTCCTGACAGTTCTCGACTAAGAGGAGCCTTTCGTCTTTCTACTCGATTAAACTTCTACCAGGTGCATTCGTTGCTACAAACATTGCATCAATGTTTTGCTTTACAAAATGATGGACTGCAACATCAATAACTTTTTGATACCTTGGATTTTCATAAGGTCCACCATCCACAGACATAATAAGAATCGGTTTGGTCAACTTGTTGCTTGGATCCTTGGTAACAATGTCAAACTCCTCCAATTCAAGTAGCCTTTCATAATCTATTCCATGGCTATAAGCTGATCGTGAGCAATGCTTGCCTGATCTGATGGCTATGTATATTGGGCCTAAATATGTTACAGCTTCCGGTTTACCTAAACCGTCTTTGGATATCAATGCCAGCATAAACAGATGGTACGAGTTTATGTCTAGATGCTACTACCCAATCGTGATCAGGTAATTTAACGCGGTATTCGACGTGCATTAAAAGCAGAGCTTGCTTGTTAGCTGCTGTTAATCCTATGGGGACTCTAGCTTTGACATCTTGACTGATGAAGCATACTTCCTTAGGTCCCAACAAAGAAGCCAATTCCTCTAGATAATTCAAAGTGGCGGTACAAAATCGACCATCGATGTGTTTTGAGTGTAAATCATTTTGTGCTCGAATTAACTTCACTGGTAAAGTTGTTACATGGCGTTTGCTTTCCGATGATAAACTTCCTTTTGACAAGAGCCGAGTATAAACTTCTACTTATTTGAAAACCTTGAATCTTTAATTGTTCTGTCAATTCACCGACATTTTTAACACTTTGATAAATACCTCTTGTTCTTTTGTCATAAGCAGCAGACCCATACAATGCTATGTCAACGATAGTTTTTAAAAGTAGCGGCTGATCTTCTTTTATTGTTGGTCAACCAGCTGTCTGTCGGATCTTTAATTTACTGCTGATGTCAGGATTTTTAGCACAAATTTCCGCTAAAATATCTTTTTTCTTTTTTCAAAATATCTTTTGCTTTTCTTGTTCATATTTCTTTCTTTAGAGTTTTTTTCAAGCTCATCAACTTTAAATTTCTTTTCTTTTAACTCTTTTTCCTAATCTGAACTTAAAACACCGCATTCTTTTCGTTTATACAAGCCAATCAAATCGCTCTTAAAGATGCTTATCTGTAATTCATCTAGTGCTTTTGCTTTGTATTTTACAGATTTTTCATCACAACCCAGCTAGCACACTTACTTTGGGCCAACGTATGTCAGGGCTAGGGTTAGGGTTAGGGTTAACGTCGGCTCTTTTTTCCAATGCAAAACCATTTAATGTCATTTGGTTAACGATAAAATTATCACCGACGGATTTAAAAACATCTGGAAAATTGACATTGGTCCAATGTATGAAAAACATTGCAAAATTTTGATTTTTTTTACGATCTAAACTCAATATTGATCCAATGTATATATTTCGTAGTTGATTCAATGTATATAAATCAACATTTTTTTAATGTATATAAAAACATCGCAAAAATTTGATTGTTTTTACGATCTAAACCCAACGTTGATCCAATGTATATATCTCGACATTAATTCAATGTATATTAATCAACGTTTTTCCAATGTATGTAAAAATATCGCAAAAAGTTGATTGTTTTTACGATCTAAACCCAACGTTGATCTAATGTATTTATTTCGACGTTGATTCAATGTATATAAATCAATGTTGATCCAATGTATGTAAATACATCGCAAAAGGTTGATTGTTTTTACGAGCTAAACCCAACGTTGGTCCAATGTATGCGACCAAACATTGCTATAGCGAAATTATATAACTTAAATAAAATCTTATGCGATTATTAAAATATTAAACCTTAATCAATACAAACATGATTTTTGTTCCGATGATCAAGCTATTTCAACCTTATTATATATATATGTTGGCTGCATATAGTAATATATATATTTATGTATATATAAATATATATTATATCTATATAAAAATATATTGTATATATATATATATTTAAAAATATATTGTATACATATATTTAAAAACAACGTTTTGCCAATTAAAGTTCAACGTTGAATCAACGTAAATACAATGTTGTGCCAACTTAAAATACAAAGTTGGGCCAACGTATAAAATAAAACGTTGAATCAACGTAGAAAATATAACCATTTTCCGACTTTAAATAAACGTTTTATCAACATTGGTTATTAGTTGTTGGCGACGTCGCATTTGTAACCATAATGGTATAAAAACAACGTTGGCAGCCGATGTTGGGCCAACGAAACGCGCGACATTGTTCTAATGTTTAAACAACGTATGTGTGCTAGCTGGGAAGTAGTACAGGATGAATCAGCTTCAAAATCGATTTCTATGTGGTCTTTTTGAATGCTTTGTGTTTGTTGTTTCACAACTTGTAACATTTGTGGCTGCGTTTTTTGGAAGGACATTTGCACTCTTTAGAGAGTGACCTTCCCAGAATGTCAATAATGTTGCCTTTTTTTTTTTTTTGTGCTAAGGTGGAATAACTATTTAACAACGAATCTACTTTTTTTGGCAAATCGTCGTCTTTTTTCAATTTGTTCCGAATTTCAGATACCTCTCTTTGACAGTCTTGCTTACGCTTGTTGGGAAATGCCTTTATATATGCTTCATATAACAACTTGTGAAAGTTTGGTTTGTCCATTGTAAACCTATAAACAAACAATTAGGCCAAGG